CATACACATGGGGACCAACAAACACTGTCAACTCCTCGGGGGGAGGAACAGAGGGCATGCGCTGAAAAGTACCTAGTGGGCACTATGCTCAATACCTGGGTCCACCATGTAACAATCCCACACATGTACCTCTGCATCTAAAATCAAAGCTGAATTGTTTTTTACATGGAGTCTCACTCTATTGCCCAGTCTGGAGAGCAATGGTGAAATCGTGGCTCACTGCAACCTCTGCCTCCCAGGTTCAAGTGATTCTCCTGCCTCAGCCACCTGGGTAGCTGGGACTACAGGCATGCGCCACCACACACAGTCAATTTTTGTATTTTTAGTAGAGACAGGGTTTCACCATGTTGGCCAGGATGGTCTCGATCTCTTGACCTCGTGATCCACCCACCTCAGCCTCCCAAAGTGCTGGAACTACAGGCGTGAGCCACGTGCTTGGCCAAAGCTGAAATATTTCTTCAAAAGTCTGATGAAGGATACAGACAAATAAGCGATAATAATACATTTTGATGAATGCTATAATAGGTAGTGGTTCGTAACCAGGGGTAACTTTGCCCTCCAGAGGACATTTGGCAATGCCTGGAGACATCTTTGATTGTCACAGCTTGGGGGAGGAGGGTGCAAGCTGCTGGCATCGAGTAGGCAGAGTCCAGGAATGCTCCTAAACATCCTACAATATGCAGGACAGCATCCAAGACAGAGAGTTACATGGCCCAAAATGTCTGTAGCGCCAAGGTTGAAAAACCCTGCTACAAAGGCATATAAGGAGAACATGAAATCTAGACACGAGAGGTCAGAGGTTTCCTAGAGGGGGTACCATGTAAGCTAAGACATGTAAGGCTAGAGAAAATATCCAGGTAGTGGAATGGAGAAGAATGTGCATGGTATGCACCAAGACTCAGAGGCTGGAAAGAATATGGGGTAATCAGCAGGGTTATCCCCACTACCGTTATTTATTGAGAAAATATTTTGTGCCAGGGTTTGTATAAGATAACCAATATGCATTTTAAAATGTAGGCCTCATTAACAATCCTATGAGTCACATATTTCTCCATTTTACAGATGAGGAAACACCGAGCCACAGAGAAGTTAAAATAACCTGTCCAAGGTCACACAGCCAGTGAATGGTGGGGCCAGAAGTTGAATCTTGGTCTGGCTAACGCTAGTAAGCCCATGTTCATTCCCTAAGGTCTCCTGCCTTTGATGACAGCTGAGTGTACTGGGGCATACGGTGTGAGAGGAGAAAAGCAGCAGCCCTGGAGGACAAAAGGGAGCCACATTCTGACAGATGTCATCGGCATGGGAAAGAATGTGGAGATTGTCCCGAAGGCAGCGAAAATGCACTGAAGGATTTTAAACCAGAGTCACGTGATCAAATGTATCTTTAAAAAAGATTGCTTCTGGGCCGGGCACGGTGGCTCACGCCTGTAATCCCAGCACTTTGGGAGGCCAAGGCGGGTGGATCACAAGGTCAAGAGATCGAGACCATCCTGGTCAACATGGTGAAACCCCGTCTCTACTAAAAATACAAAAAATCAGCTGGGCCTGGTGGCGCGTGCCTGTAATCCCAGCTACTCAGGAGGCTGAGGCAGGAGAATTGCCTGAACCCGGGAGGCGGAGGTTGCGGTGAGCCGAGATCGCGCCATTGCACTCCAGCCTGGGTAACGAGAGCGAAACTCCATCTCAAAAAAAAAAAAAAAAAAGATTGCTTCTGGCTACAGTGTAGGGAATGTAAGGAAGGTGGGGAGACAAGCTAGGAAGAAAAACGGAATAGATAAATCCAGCGATCACAGCTTCCGTAAGAAAAGTGCTAATGAGGGAAAGAATTTAAGAAAACATTAGAAACTCAGATCTGTACTTAGTGACTGGTTAAAAGTCAAGGGTGAAGGACGGCGTGAAATCCAGTTTTCTGATCAGAGCGTATTAGTGGGTAAAAGTGCCAGCCAGGCTGGGCAATGGCTCACATCTGTAGTTGTAGCACTTTGGGAGGCCAAGGCGGGTGGATCTCAAGGTCAGGAGGTGGAGACCATCCTGGCCAACATGGTGAAACCCTGTCTCTACTAAAAATACAAAATTAGCCAGGCATGATGGTGCATGCCTGTAATTCCAGCCCTTTAGGAGGCTGGGGCAGGAGAATCACTTGAACCTGGGAGGCAGAGGTCACAGTGAGCTGAGATTATGCCACTGCACCCCAGCCTGGGCAACAAGAGTGAAGTTCTGTCTCAAAAAAATAAAAATAAAAATAAAGTAAAATAGAAAGGATCAAAGAGCATCTTCTCAAATTACAGATTTTATCGATTAGGGAGAAGAAAGACAACACTGATTTCAAAGAGGAGTGTGCTATGGTTTGGATGCCTGTCCTCTCCAAATCTCTCATGCTGAAATGTGACTCCCAATGTTGGAGGTGGGGCCTGGTGGGAGGTGTTTGGGTCATGAGAGTGGATCCCTCCTGACTGGCTTGGTGCCCTATTTGTTTTCCTGAGATCCGATTGTTAGAAAGAGCCTGGCACCTCTCCTCCTCTCTCAGTCCTGCTCCCTTGGATGCTTGCTCCCCTCTGCCTCCTGTCAAGGTGAAAGCTTCCTGAGGCCTTACCAAAAGCATATGTTGGCACCATGCTTCAAAGGCAGCCTGCACAACATGAGCCCAAATAAACCACTTACTTCTCTTTATAAATTACCCAGTCTCAGCTATTTTCTTTTTTGTGGGGGGAATGGAGTCTCACTCTGTCTCCCAGGCTGGAGTACAGTGGTGCAATCTTGGCCCACTGCAGCCTCTGCCTCCCGGGTCGAAGCAATTCTCCTGCCTCAGCCTCCCCAGTAGCTGTGACTATAAGCACCCACCACCACGCCCAGCTAATTTTTGTATTTTTTCTAGTAGAGACAGGGTTTCACCATATTGGTCAGGCTGGTCTTGAACTCCTGACTTCGTGATCGGCCCACCTCAGCCTCCCAAAGTGCTGGGATTACAGGCATGAGCCACCACACCCTGCCTTCAGCTATTTATTTATAGCAGGAAAAATAGATGAACACAGAGTGGTAACCTAATTTCAAAGAGGAATAGCACCTGAACGTAAGCGCCGTACCGAGCGCTGGAAATGGCAGTGAGGAGTGAAGCACTGCTCTTTCCCCCATTACATCCACATGAGATGAAATGACCGGCAAAGGGCATTCACTTGCTGGTGGTTGTAAAAGGAATGGTATCGAGGGCCAGCTAGAGCTAGAACCACTGAAGAAATGGAAGGACAGTTTGAGGAAACAGTATGTTGGCGAGCTTGGTCATAACTGAACCTAAGTCTCAGAAGGCATGAGGGTCAAATGGGAAGAGTTATGGATAAAGACAAATGGATATAGCAATGGCTGACAAGAGGCTTAATACAGAATTGAAGATCCCTAACATTTGTTTAACTTTTATTTTAGGTTCAGGGTACCTGTGAAGGTTTGTTATATAGGTAAACTGATGTCACAGGGGTTTGCTGTATAGATTATTTCAGGTATTAAGCCCGGTACCCAATAGTTATCCTTTCTGCTCCTCTCCCTTCTCCCACCCTCCATCCTCAAGCAGATGCCACTGTCTGTTACTTCCGTCTTTGTCCTCATAAGTTCTTACATTTTAGCTCCCACTCACAAGTAAGAATACATAGTATTTGGCTTTCTGTTCCTGCATTAGTTTGCTAAGAATAATTGCCTCCAGCTCCATGCATGTTTCTGCAAAAGACATGACCTTGCTCTTTTTATGGCTGCGTAGTATTCCATGGTGTTTGTGTACCACATTTCTTTATACAATCTGTCAGTGATGGACATTTAGACTGAGTTCATCAATTTAGGTTGATTCCATCAATTCCTTCGTTTAGGTTTGCTATTGCAAAGAATGCTCCAATGAACATTCACATGCATGTGTCTTTGTGGCTGAATGATTTATATTCCTCTGTGTATATACCCAGTAATTTAGCCCTAATATCTTTATAAAACACTGAGATTAGTACATGGTTTAGACCAGTGCTATACAACAAAGCTTTTCATAATGAAAATGTCCTATATCTGCACTGTCCAATATTAGCTACATGTGGCCATAAGCACTTGAATTGTATGCTAGCATGTCTAGGGAAAATACATGCAACTTTAATGGTTACGGTGCAGCCCCCAAATATAGCAATGAATCCACAGAAACCTCCTGTTATTCCAAGTGCCTATTAACACTGTCTCATCACTAAGTATAAACTGTTATTCTCATTAAGTATGTTTCAGTTACCTTATAATAAGTCCAGACTCAAAGATGCTACTAAGGCCGGGCATGGTGGCTCACGCCTATAATCCCACCACTTTGGAAGACCAAGGCGGGCAGATCACCTGAGGTCAGGAGTTTGAGACTAGCCTGACCAACATGGTGAAACACTGTCTCTACTAAAAATACAAAAATCAGCTGGGTGTGATGGCATGTGTGTGTAATCCCAGCTACTTGGGAGGCTGAGATAGGAGAATCAGTTGAACCTGGGAGGTGGAAGTAGCAGTGAGCCAAGATCATACCATTGCACTCCAGCCTGGCAACAGTGAGACTCCATCGCAAAAAAAAAAAAAAAAAAAAAGATGCTACTAAATATGTATATATTATTTCTTTGGTATTTGGATTTTCTCACAACTTCCCAGTTATTGAGGAAAAGCATCTGTCTTTAGCCATATGTGAATATACACAAACTAATGCCTGGATGTTAAGATTTTTGCAGCGCTGCAAATTATCAGCAAATAAAAAAATTAAGCATATAGGTCTCTCAAAGTGTCATGCTGTACTAAATTCTCTCAACAGTGATATAACAAGAGCATTTGCAGAGGAATAAGAATTCTCCAAATAGCAAATTTGCTTAATTCAGAAGTCAACATTAACAGACTAATAATTCACTTTGTGTGTTTGAAAAACAGAGTTTAGTTATAGAAGAATAACCAAACAAACACTCAGAAGAAAAAAGAGAAGAAAGATGCCTTTATTTGCATCTTATTAGACTTGCCTTGGTTTTTTCAAAGTTGGCTTCCTCAGATATTTGCCAAACTTGTTTCACCTGTTCATAAGCACTTGCTTCTCTTTGCTGCGTTTCTGCCAAGCTGCTCCTTACAGAAACTAGTGCAGACATCAAGTCATCTCTTTCTCTGCAACACAAAAAGAACATTCAAAACAAGAAATGATCAAACGATCATGTCCTCATAAGTCAGGAAGAAAAATGCATTAGTATGTATTAGAAGAGCCAGGGTAGGTCGGCTGAGCACATATTAAATAAAGCACACCCCAGAGAAAGACCCTCTGTCCTCACTTGGCAAGCGGCAGGCAGAGCAGCCAGAAAGGCTAAGAGCCTTGGTGGCAGCACTGCCTCTGTAGGCGACAATCGTCTATTGTGGAGAGGGCTGCAGGGCAAAGCCCAGAAAAGAGCAAATTCGTTTTTAAAAAGTGGGGGGAGGTGCCGAAAAGAAAAAAATGCCACAAAGTAGGGAAGGTAGGAATTGTATCTCATGGTAGCAGTCAACATTTTAAGAAAGGACTAAGGCTTTGTCATGCCGCAGATTCTCCTCTCATTTACTTGAACAAATATATGTCCTTTCCTTTCTATCTTTCTCCATAATCCTTTTTCGCCCTTCTCTTTCAATTACATTCTTTCAGTTACTTATGAACACTTGTTGTTCAATGGTTAGTGCTGCTGAACTCCTCCAATCCCCTGGTTACGCATATAATATTGACAATTTAACACAATCTTATCCCACTGGGGTTTATCGTTGTCAAGACCCACCCCTCTCAGCAATTCTCAGAAGTACTCTATGCTAAGCTGTTAACTGGGGGTAGAAGTTAACCGAATGCCAAAAATGCTCTGGCATGTAAAATAGCAAGGATACAATCTCATAGATTAAATAAGTCCCATGTAGAATATTCTAGGATATTTGGAATTTATCTGCTGAATAAAAATATCCACTAGACCAAAGAGAAAGCGAGGCAGGAAATTTTCAAGACACAGAAAGCAAAATATGTATGCTGGACTGTTACATATGCTATTGTCTGTTTTGTTAAAGAGCTGAAGTTTAAACCACAGTTTCAGATTTTGTTGAAATAAATTCCTGCAGTTTTCTTTTCATTGCAAAGTTCTAAACTATGAGAAAAAAAGGCAACTAGGATTTGAAAAAAAAAATTAGCAAGTTTTAAAGAGTCATAGTTTAGAATATTATGAATTCTGCTTGAATTACTTTCGGAGTTAACCAATGATTCAATTTAAAACATCTCTTAAAAATAAAGTGAACTATTTGTGGTATTTGGAAAGCAGCCACATTTGAAGAAATATGTAATACTGAACCAAGTTACAATTATTAGCAGTTTCATAAAACCTCTTTTGTTTAAGAAAAGAATAAAATGCTACAAATATAAAATTCATGGAAGAAGACAGATCTTCACTTTAGAATTTCCTGATTTATTTTAAATTGATAAAAATAACTTAATTTTTCTTCCAAGGAAATGAAAAGAAGTAAATTGTTTTGATCAAATATAATCAAACACAATTACTATGTGAAAAAGTGGAAGAATCAAGGCAGGATTAAATTATCCAAGTAAAAAATAAACACCAGCAAAATTGAATGTGTATCTATTTGCATTTCCATAAAAGCTCTATAACATGGCTTTATCAAGAATATGCAATCCACTTAGGACCTATGATTCTAGAAGAAAAGAAAAATTCCCTCTTTAGGGACAGCAAGCCAAGATAGGCATCCTACATTCACCTTTCTTAAATCTCTAGGACCTAATGAAGAGCAAAAGTAACCATTCAATGAGATTCTTATCTGTTCCTGATACCATACAATCACCAAAGCCAAAGTTCCAAATAAGAAGAAAACAAAAAAGGCCAGGCACAGTGGCTCACGCCTGTAATCCCAGCACTTTGGGAGGCTGGGGTGGGCAGGTCACTTGAGGTCAGGAGTTCAAGACCAGCCTGACCAACATGCTGAAACCCCATCTCTACTAAAAGTACAACAATTAGCTGGGTGTGGTAATGCACACCTGTGGTCCCAGCTACTTGGGAGGCTGAGGCACAAGAATTGCTTGAACCTGGGAGGCAGAGGTTGCAGTGAGCCGAGATCATGCCACTGCACTCCAGCCTAGGTGACAGAGCAAATGATGAAAAAAGCTCAGTGTTTATAAGTATGCAAACAGACAGATCACAACAGGATAAAAACCTAACAAACTGCTTCTTATGGGAGACTTGTGTTTCATATACTTTATCTCTTTTCAGAATATCCTCTTGTCCAGAGTAGTGTATGTCACAGAGTAGATGCTCAAAAGAATAAACAACAGCAAAACAAATAAATGAATAAAGAGTCTGCTATAGAAGGGTGTCAAAAGAGGTGAAGTAAAGCTCCCTTTCAGTTCTGATATTTTATGATCTAAACTGAAAACGTCATCTAACTATTTTAAATTAGAAACTAGAGTTCAGTTGCTCTGGTTTGAAAGTGTTTTGGAATATTAACTCACCAAATTTAGACTATGGAAACACAGAAAATTATCAGTGATAAAACTCCAATATACAGATGTCTTGTGAAGCCCATCATTCGACAGTGAGACCACAAAACAATTAGACTTGAACTCTGCGTAACCACTGGGCTCACACACTCCACCTTTCTGTAAGGCAAATGCAAGCATGCTTCAAGGTGGCATTCAGCTCACCTGGGAGCCTTCTGGTAGTCATTGTGGCAATTTAGGATTAGCCACTTATCCACTCAGGTGTAACTAAATCTTGGTTTTGGTTTTATTTTGTTTTGACTCAGCCAGTCCATAGACCAAATAGCAAGCACTCCCACAAAAAGTTTTTTTTACAAAGAGCCCTGGGCTGGCAGTCCCCTGTCCTGACACAAGGCCTTGCTTCCTACTCCATTCCTATGCTCATCTGGCTTCATCTAGTTTGATCTTTCACTTTTCAGCCCCACACTTCTCCCTTAGGTCTAACACTGCTACTTAATCTGGCTTTCAGAAACAGCTGATTCCAGCCACCCAGGGTACCTGCCCAGTTAGCTATAGTCCTGCTCTAGATCCCGCAGTCCACAGAGTCCACAGAGCCAACCCAGAGCCACACCTGAATGGGGATCTCACAATGGGAAGCTGTACAGATACACATGGCATAGCAATGTGAGAGTGAAAGAGCAGTTCTCCAAATTACCATCTTCCATGGCAAAAGCTCTGTGAGTGCCTGGAAACACCATGTGAATGTGCTGATGAATGTAATCAAGGAGCTTCCTGAAGCAAAGCCAGCACACTGTGTTAACCCTGCAACATTCCATGATCCAGATGAAAAAACAGCTGAGCAGAAAGATGACGTAAAGATCATGAGTGTTCTGGGGTGAAAAGCACATACTTACATGCACTAATGAGCATGTAATATTTAAGAAACTTAGTGCAACAGTCAGGGCCAAAGGACTGAGAAAGTCCCTTAATAAACTCAGCCAAGTGTTTAAGCAAAAGAGTTGGTCTCATGTATATGCATGCGCTTCATCTTGAAATGTGGAATGCCTAAGAAATGTCTTATAATTTCTAAATTACTCCAGTTGTTATTAATTTTAAGCATTATTAGGCATCACTAATAAGTGTTACTATACTGCTTTCAAAAAGAAAGTCTGGAAGGCTGACTACAACATTTCTTTGTTCCTCATTTCTGGGAAGTTCCTGCTGAAGTCTTTTAAAGCCAACTCTGCAGAGCACTGCCAATGATCCACTCCAAAATCACAAGCTGGACTAAAGCCCCACAATAGTGCCCTTGGAATCATTTCTCTTTTTTGAAAAGTACAGTGAAACTTCTCCAACGTACTATGAGGCACAGAAAGAAATTTAAAGCAGGTCCATCTTGATTACCATGTGAAAGTATTTTGATCATTAAGCAAGAAAAAGGCGTTACTGTTACTCTTACCTCCCTTATGACATAAAGAGGCCCAATTGAAAAGCAAAAGGTCAGAAATGACATGAAGACTTCAAATCAACGTAGAAAAGATATCCAATGTCATCAACAGTTGTTAAGCATATTCTCCAAAAAGTCCCCTGAGTCGTAACAAACCACCAGAAACATACGGGTGGCCTGGTCTCCAAGTCATGCCTGATCTCCTCCTTGTCAACTATACAAGCCATTTTTTCTAAGACGGAGTTTCACTTTTGTTGCCCAGGGTGGAGTGCAGTGGCGTGATCTGGGCTCACTGCAACCTCCACCTCCCTGGTTCCCGCGATTCTCCTGCCTCAGCCTCCCAAGTAGCTGGGATTACAAGCACACACCACCACGTCCAGCTAATTCTGTATTTTTGGTAGAGACAGGGTTTCACCATATTGGTCAGGCTGCTCTCAAACTCCTGACCCCGTGATCCACCCACCTCAGCCTCACAAAGTGCTGAAATGACAGGTGTGAGCCACTGTGCCTGGCCATCAAGCCATGCTTGTGTCATGAATATATGTTCAAAATATTACATGCTAAAGGATATAACAAGGGGGCCGAAAGCTGCTGTCACAATACGACGTTTACCAGGAAACTTCTGATTTATCATATTTAAGGTATCATTTTTGAACTTCCAAGTTATTCAGATAATATAACAGCTTATGGAGGGGTCAGGCTTCTAACTATACATAAAGTTAGAAATCCAAACCTAAAAGGAGGTGGACGCTCTTCAGATTAGCATAGCACTCAATATTCAGCATTCTGCAGTAATAAGTTTAAGAAACGGAACACCAGCTTAGGCCAAGAGAATGATACAGAAAAAAAAATTTGTTGACAATAAAAGCAGAAACTGTTCAGTGTTAATAGGTTTAATAACCTTTCTGTTATAAATGCAGAACATGAGACAATGATATGCTGACAAGGCAGAAAATTGAACTAAGTTGGTTGACATTTACTTTAAGAGGCTAAGAGTTCAAATTTAGGATAGAGACAAAAGAATACATAACTGATCAAGAATCTTAATTTCTGAATGACTGCCAGGCTTAGAAGCAACCTAAACATATAGCTTCCTTTAAAAATATTTTTTCATAATCTAGAAGGATAATATGAAAGGCAACATAGTAACCTGTTATCTGTTGGTTAGGCTTTTTAAAAAGATTTTTTGTAGAGACAGGGTCTTACTATGTTGCCCAGACTGGTCTCAAACTCCTGGCCTCAAGTGATCCTCCTGTATCAGCCTCCCAAAGTGCTGGGATTACAAGCATGAGCCACTGTGTCTGGCTTATAAGTTTTGCTAGACTACCTAGTTTTAAACTCTGACTATGTTTATGTGCAACTTTTAATATGCTTTCTTTCTAAAATTAATTTTTAAACTATATTCTCCTTGTAAAATTAGTTACCAATATTGTTAAAGATCTATTTGACACCCTTTCAATTTCATTGCCTTCTTCCACCTCTCTAGTGGTAATCACTGTTAAATATACTCTTTCAAATATTTTTTCTATGCATGTCTATGAACCTAGGAGGAGAAAAATGTAGTATGGTTGTATACGGACTTTAAAAATGCAAGAGGTTTCATACTAGATGTATCTTCAGCCATTTTGTTTTGTTTTCTTGCAACAATATATTTTGGAGATGGCCCAACATTAGTACACATAGAACTACTTCAGTTTTTCATACTATGCACAAAATTTCATAGTTTATCTAAACCATGTTTAGTTACTCTCCTTTGAATGACATTTAGGTTGCTCATGCTCACATCATTAAAACAATGCTGCAAAAAACATTTCCTATACATGCCCCATTATGCATGTGCGTGAGTTTTTTCTTGAAGGTAGATTTTGAAAAGTGAAAGGTACAATTTGAATATTAATAAACCGCTAATTTACTTCCAAAGTATTTCTACTAATTTATGAATCCAGCAGAGTATGAAAATACTTGCTTATGACCTCACCAACTCTTGCAATTGTCAATCTTGTTCTGTTTTGTCAGTCTGATGGGTTGGTTTTAATATTTTTTATTGTATTTCCTCAAATACTAATAAATACATTCTCATATGCTGACATCTTCCTCTTTTATTGCTCACTAATTTCTATTCTTTACCTACTCTGCAACTAGGCAGCTTGTCTATTTTGTTTGTTTCAAAGGAAATTATTTATTCTATTGGTCTTTTGTTATGTATAGTGCAAATATTTTTTCTCCGACTTTTAACTGAATATGCAATGCTTTTTGTTTGTTTTGTTGAGACAGAGTTTTGCTCTTGTTGCCCAGGCTGGAGTGCAATGGCACAATCTCAGCTCACTGCAACCTCTGCTTTCGGGGTTCAAGTGATTCTCCTGTCTGAGCCTCCTGAGTAGTTGGGATTACAGATGCAGGCCACCATGCCTGGCTAATTTTTGTATTTTTAGTAGAGATGAGGTTTCATCATATTGGTCAGGCTGGTCTTGAACTCCTGACCGCAGGTGATCTGCCTGCCTCGGGCTCCCAAAGTGCTGGGATTACAGGGGTGAGCCACCGCGTCTGGCCTGTAATGTTTTATTGTAAGGGAATTTATTTTTTTAATAGAAACAAATGTATCTTTTTTTCCTGTATGACTTCCACTTTTCATGTCATCCTTTGGACTATAACCTGCAACTATAAGATATTTTTAATATTTACTTCTAATGCTTTTATAGTCTGAATTATATCTGAACTTTTAAACTGCCATGAATTTATTTTTGTAAGGTATAGTTCTGTTCTTTTTTTTTTTTTTCAAATATAAACAGGCAAATTTTTAACTTCACTGAACCTCAATTTCCCTAACTATAAAATTGGGGTAATAATCTTCCTCATGAATGTTTTATTAAGATTTTTAAAAATTATGTTCTTAAATTGCCTAGTACAGTCCTTGACATATAATAAATGTTGGCTGGGCGTGGTGGCTCGTGCCTGTAATCCTAGCACTTTGGGAGGCCGAGGTGGGTGGATCACCTTCGGTCAGGAGTTCGGGACCAGTCTGGTCAATATGGTGAAACCCCATCTTAAAATAAAATAAAATAAGAAATGTTCACTACATGTGTTAGTTGTATCTGAAAATAGTCTGTATTTGTTTATTTATTTATTTAGAGATAGTGTCTTGCTCTGTTGCCCAGGCTGGAGTGCAATGGTGTGATATTGGCTTACTGCAACCTCTGCCTCCCTGTTTCAAGCAATTCTCTGCCTCAGCCTCCTGAGTAGCTGGGATTACAGGTGCCCACCACCACACCTAGGTAATTTTTGTATTTTTAATAGAGATGGGGTTTCACTATCTTGGCGAGGCTGGTCTTGAACTCCTGACTTCGTGATCTGCCCACCTTGACCTCCCAAAGTTCTGGGATTACAGGTGTGAGCCACCACACCTGGTCTTAATATATATTTAATAGTTATATTGAATATATATGAATAAATTAACAACATATTTAATAATTAAAATACTTAACAAAAACAGAACCAAGCAGTATAGATCATAAAAACTACCAGTCAGTCCACACTGGAAATTCTATGTTCATATAACAATCAGTAGGTTAGGTAGGTATGGTGGCTTATGCCTATAATCCCAATACTTTGGGAGGCTGAAGTGGGAGGATCACTTGAAGCCAGGAGTTCAAGACCAGCCTGGGCAACACAGTGAGACACTTATCTCTACCAAAAAAATTTTTAGTTAGCTGGGTGTGGTGGCACGTACCTGCAGTTCCTCAGGAGGCTGAGGCAGGAGGATCACTTGAGCCCAGAACTTCGAAGTTGCAGTGAGCTATGATTGTGCCATTACATTCCAGCCTTGGCAACAGAGTGAGACTCCAACTCAAAAACCACAGCAACAAACCACTCCCCATGCCCCCCCGGCCCCCCGCCACCAACAGTAGGTTAGTCATGTGTTGACCCCACAGCTACAAGACATATTGATCATTCTTGGGAGAATGGAAGGTACAGAATGGTTTTCATATTTATTTATTGAGCATTTACTGTATGTCAGCAAGTGTTTTAAGCACTACATAGGTTTTCTCTAGTGACCCCTCAGGTAACTCTATGAGTTTTAAACTACTGGTATCACTAGTTTAAAAATGAGACAACTGAAGCACAAAAAGCTTAGGTAACTTCTGCAAGATGCCACGGTAAGTTGGCAGTGGGGCCAGAATGAACCCAAGCAGCCAGCTTCAAAAGCAGTTCTCCTCGTCACAGGCTAACCTGTCTCCGTAAAATCCCCAAAAGATCTTAAATCTCAAGAAGCAGGTATTATTACTCCAAACAACAGAAGACTCCAGGATCAGAGAAGAAAAGTCATTTGTTGAAGGTCAGGAATGGAGAAAAATTGGTCTGACCTTAATGACCACAGTCATGTCACTCCTCCACACCAATTCCAACTGGAGGCTCACTGACTGTGGAGCAGTAAATGCCAGGATGCCTTGTCACATGAACAGCAAACATTTACTGGGTGCCTACAACCAGCCAGCCAATCTGTTAGGAACAAGGGCTACGGAAATAAACAAAACACAATTGCTGCCTCCAGGTGTACACGATATATTATAAAATCACACAAGAAAGGAACCTAAGGCAATTAAGGACAAAATGGGGTAGGGCTGGTGAGCGACTTCTAAAAGGAAGTGATTTGGGGTTATTTAAGTTAGCAGAGCAGACAGAGAGAGGTGGGCACAGGGAAAAGTAGGGGCATGGAAGGACATACACTATAAACTACCACTGGATTCTACATTACATAATAATTCTCAATTTCAACTGAATAAAATTTTCACAGGAAAAGGCTTCCTCTGGAATAGTGAAAATAGAACAAAAATAGATGTACACAGAGAATTGTTTCACTTCAGCCTAGATGGAAATGCTGACAACACAAAAGGTCATCTGGAATGTGTTCTTAGTTAACCCTCAAATAGCAATACTGGGATACAGTGGATCCTTATAATACTCCTTACAACAGACACATGATGAAGATGTGGTAATAACTCATTCTACCTGAAGTACAGCAGAAAAATCCAAGACATGGCAAAACCAAAGAATTTCTATTACATCTAGTTTTGTTAAGAATAGTATTGACTTGTAATTATAGAGTCATAGAACTGGACAGAATTGTAAAGACTGTCTAGTTCAATTCTCTCACTTGAAGATGGACTGAAACCAAGAGATACTATTATTTGTTCAAAGTGACATGGTTTCCCATAGTTGGCAGAACCTACCCATTTGTCTTCAAGGGAGTCCTTTTAAAATTCATTGTATTTGAAGACAAACAATAATCACATGTGACTTAGCATGGGGTGAAAAGAACACAATGCCCCTTTAAAGACATAATTTTCCATATGGCCAAAGACTCCGTGCGTAGAAGCATACTTACTTAATCACTCTTTCAATGGTCTGCATGTGAACATTATTATGGGTTTGGGAAAGAACAGCTTCATGCTGAGCACATTTCAAACAAAGACCCCCAACACGGTTAGAAGTATTAGCAGCCAGAAGAAACTCTTTATGCTTTAGTTGCTCTTTAAGATCTTCACAGGTTTTCTGATATTCAGCTAAGTCTTTCCTAAAAAGAGGGGGGAAAAAATTCCAGAAAATGACCAGGTAAAATGACATGATTTTAAAATGAATTATCACAATGTTAACTACTGCTGTCATTTATGGGCGTTCACATTCTGCTTTAGTTTACACACAATGTCTTATTTTTACCACAATCCTGAAACTTTGGTGGGGTGATCCTGATTGACATGTTGAACATGATGAGACTTGAATATATTGAATAATTAGCTCAGGTTCTTGTAAGATTTTAATATAGATTAGAGTCTGCCTGATACTGGCTCTCTAGTCACAGGGTCCCATCTCCATTAATGCTATATTAACCACAAAACAAAAATAAAACTCCAAACTTAAATCCCAAATAGTTTTTCTTAATAAAGGGGTAGGCTAATGTAACAACACAACATACTTGGGGTGAGGAAAATACCTTATTTCAAGTATTAACCTCTTAAAATTTTTAGAGTACCTTAAAAGTCCATATAAAAAAACATGGATTTTCTGCTGGGTGTGGTGGCTCACGCCTGTAATTCCAGCACTTTGGGAGGCCGGGGCTGGTAGAACACGAGATCAGAAGTTCAAGACCAACCTGGCCACGATGGTGAAACCCCATCTCTACTAAAAATACAAAAAAAATTAGGTGGGCATGGGGGTGGATGCCTGTAATCTCAGCTACTCAGGAGGGTGAGGCAGAGAATTGCATGAACCGGGAGGCAGAGGTTGCAGTAAGCCGAGATTGCCCCACTGCACTCCAGCCTGGGTGATAGAGCAAGACTCTGTCTCAACAACAACGAAACCAGGGATTTTTATCCATCACTAGTTTGTTACTGCCCATTTTTCTTCAGAAGGAAAACATTACAAATTATGTAATAACAAAATTCTACAAAAAGCTGTTTCAAAACAAAGTAAGCAACAGAAGGAAGTTACCCAGAACTAGCCAGTCATAAGCCTTCACAGGTAGTAGCTATGAGCCGGAAACATGCGGGCTGCTCAACAAAGGGCTGCAGAATGGCGGGGTGGGGGACGGGTGAGTGTGGGTGTGGGTGTGATGTTTGTTGGTGTTTACTCTATCAGCTCACATCTGGATGAAGTTTTTCTCCAAAGTGACTTTCTAAGGATTAAATGACTGATGCATGGGTTGTGTTTTCCTACCTTATCCCAGTAAAGCTGTGGTAAAGTCAGCTTGGTAACTGAGCTTCCCTGCCTAGATGTCTCTTTTTGTTCTCTCTCTCTCTCTCTCTCTCTATATATATATATATATATATTTTTTTTTTTTTTTTTTTTTTGAGACAGTCTTGCTGTCACCCAGGCTGCAGTGCAGTGCAGTGGTGTCATCTCAGCTCACTGCAACCTCTGCCTCTGGTTCAAGTGATTCTCCTGCCTCAGCCTCCCAAGTGGCTGGGACTACAGGCGCGCACCACCACGTCCAGCTAATTTTTGTATTTTTAGGAGAGACGGGGTTCACCACGTTGACAAAGATGGTCTCGATCTCTTGACCTCATGATCTTCCTGCATTGACCTCCCCAAGTGCTATGATTACAGGCATGAGCCACTGTACCCGGCCTATATTTAAAAAAAAAAAAAAAAAAAACTTTCTAGCTGAATCAGGAGACTACGGAAGGCAGGCACTTGACCTCCACCTCAGCCCACTCCCTGTTGTCGTTGTCAGCGTCTGTGCTCAGGGGTTATGGCCATCTTAGCTGGCTCCCTGTCACACAGGAGAAGCCAACAGCCTGGCTGTCAGACAACTGTTGAGATTTTGGGGGCTTTCAAGCAACCCAGGAGAGGCAGAAAAGGCCCACAGGCAATCTAAGGATTAAAAAAAAAAAAGCTAATTTAATGGCATTCCAAAGTTGAGGGGGAAAAAAGGAGCTGCTTCTACCCTATCCCCAAAATAATAACAAACTTGAGAAGTTTTCTTTTTCAGTATCTTGTAGAGAATGTCTGACTTTCAAAAGCTTTATAGAAAGAACTTGGGATGCACATTCCGAAGTCAAAGGGTCCCCATTACTAACTTCGGTAGGCTCCAAACTCAAAACACTCAAGTAGATTTGGTTACTAGAAATGGCAAAACAGAAAGTTAAAAAGAAGACTGATTGTATTTTTTTAAGAAATGCTTTTTTAAATCATCTTAAATTATAGCAAAAGAAAATGAAGAAACAGAAGGATGAAGAGAACAAAGTCTAGTTCATTGCAAGTTGGTATTTAATATAATTAAAGATGAAATATCTGGACTCTGAATGAGACAAAATATGTCACATTCCCATAAGTACAGTGATCTAGAAATACATTACTTCAAAAACTGAAGAATCAAGTCATAAAAAATAAAATAAAGTAGGACAAAAAGCATGAAAGCAAAAATTAGAGTTTTAAAATGTTACGTTTCTTTATGAAAAAGTAAAAATCTCTAGAGAAATCCTAAAACTAATCAGGGTCATCTATGAAAAACATAAGAACATTTAAAAAACAAATAAGCATATACAATTAAAGTGATGAGCTCTGGCTTTTATTATTATATTATTATTATTTGAGATGGAGTCTCCCTCTGTCACCCAGCCTGCAGTGCAGTGGAGTGATCTTGGCTCACTGCAACCTCCCCCTCCTGGGTTCAGGCGATTCTGCCTTAGCCTCCTGAGCAGCTGGGACTAAAGGTACGTGTCACCACACTTAGATAATTGTTGTATTTTTAGTAGAGACAGGGTTTCACCATGTTGGCCAGGTTGGTCTTGAACTCTTGACCTCAAATTATATGCCTGCCTTGGCTTCCCAAAGTGTTGGGATTACAGGCGTGAGCCACTGCATCTTGCTGAGTTCTGGCTCTTAGTATTACTCTAGTTACGTCTCTAGGTAGGATATGGCCTGTAAGATTTTAAAATTAATTTTAAATTGGACTTATTAAAATAAAATTATACACAGTATTTGAAAGTTTATTTGATTTAGAAATACTTCATTACCACTATTTAAAAAAATCTTTAACAACAAAAATATTAATTCCTGTTGTCTTTTTCTACTCATTATGCATAAACCACTAACGATTAACCTGTACTATATAGGTCTTACTGGGATCTCTAATAAATAGATTCTATAACAACTACATGAAGATTCATCATATATACTCAAATTCATCATACAAATACTCAAACTATTATATTATCATTGTAATTTTAAAATTAGATGAGGCTGGGTGCGGTGGCTCATGCCTGTAATCCCAGCACTCTGGGAGGCCAAAGCAGGAGGATTACGAAGTCAAAAGATTGAGACCATCTTGGCCAACACGGTGAAACCCTGTCTCTACTAAAATACAAAAAATTAGCTGGGCATTGTGGCACGCACCTGTAGTCCCAGCTATTCAGGAGGCTGACGCAGGGGAATCACTTTAACCCAGGAGGTGGGGGTTGCAGTAAGCCAAGTTTGCGCCACTGCACTCCAGCCTAGTGACAGAGAAAGACTCAGACTAAAAAAAAAAAAAAAAATTAGATGAACACTATCTACAGAGAAAAAATACTTATAATCTGAAAACTGAAGTGCTTTCATTATTTATTTTGCTTTAATATCATAATTTCTACAAGAGCAGTTAGTGATTCTTATTTCTATGAGAAAACAAATATAACTAATGAGGAAACAGGAGTGTGATTTGGAAAAGAACTCAATTTTAGGCCCTTTTATCCTTTAATAATCTAAGGAAATTTTTTATATTTTACATAAAATGTCATCAAGTAAGTCTGATAATGACTAAAATAGTTCAGCAAACACTGAAATATATTTTAAGGTCATTATGCTTTTGGTGTGACTATAAGTGGATGATTTCACTTTACCTCAAAAAGTTCAGCTGGGATTCCAGAGTTTCATACTTTTCCTCATAGGTAAGTTTTAGTTTCTCCTATAGAAAAAAATAAATAAAAGTACATTTTCTCCATCTCCTGTGTTTTGTAAGTAAACTTTAATTATTAATATTAAACTCAATTTTTTTCTTTTTATACAAGGTGGGGGAAATACGTCATCTTAGAAAATATTTTCCCTAGTCCACTCCAAATTTTTTATTGGGTGAATGCCTACAAAGAACTGCTGAGTCATAAAATGGTGACTACTAACAGATCTTCCTTTTCTTTCAAAATTGCATATATCATGTTTTATTCCTAAAAGTGTGACTCTGGGAAAAAACAGTTGTAACCCACAAGGTCTATTAGGGCAAAGATCAAATCTTGTTTGAATCCTCCACTGTGGCTGTTGCATATTGGGCATACAATACATATGTGCTGGATGTATGTTCAAAAGTAAAGTTTTAAATCACATGATGATAGACTAACTGCTACAAGCCTCTGTTGTTAATCCAATTATTCTTTCATTCAACAAATATTTATTGTTTATCTAAGATGAAGGTGGTTTGAACCACAAGAAACTTATAAAATATCCTAGAAAGGAATAGGAAAATGAAGAATTTCAATTACAGTTAACCCTTGAATAACATGGAGGTTAGGAGCATTCACCCATGTACAGTTGGAAATCCATGTATAACTTTTCTTTTTGTTTTGAGACAGACTCTCACTCTGTCTCCAAGGCTGGAGTGAGTGCAATGGCGACAGAGTGAGACTCATTGCATCTCTTGGCTCACTGCAACCTCTGCCTCCTGGGTTCAAGCTATTTTTGTGTCTCAGCCACCTGGGTAGCTGGGTTTTAGACATGTGCTATTACACCTGGCTAATTTTTGTATTTTTAGTAAGATGGGGTTTCACTGTGTTGGCTAGGCTGGCCTCAAACTCCTGGGCTCAAGTGATCTGCCCACCTCAGACTCCCAAAGTGCTGGGGTTACAGGCATGAGCTACCATGCCTGGCCCCATGTATAACTTTTGACTCCTCCAAAACTTAATTACTAATAGCCTACTGTTGAGTAGAAGACTTACCAATAACATACTCAATTAACACATATTTTATATGCTGTATTATATACTGTATTATCACAATAAAGTAATCTAAAGAAAAATAATGTTATTAGGAAAATCATAAGAAAAAGAAAATTGTATTTTCTACTCATTAAGTGGATGTGGATCATCATAAAGGTCTTCACCCTACCATCTTCACACTGAGTAGGCTGAGTTGGGGGAGGAAAAGGAGGGGTTGGTCTTGTCTTCCCAGGGATGGCAGAGGCAGAAGAGATGGAGGAGCTGGGAGGGAAGGCAGGAGGGGCAAACTTGGTCAACTTTATGGAAACAAGTGGTAATTTCTCTCCCACTTTTTTATGCTTTTCTTGTCTCTAAAAATGTTTCTATACAGTATCTATCTTTCTTCCATTTGCTTTAGTTTCAGTGCTTATATTATAGAAGGGTCCGTGTCATAAAAGAAGTCAAAAGCAGTCTTGAATAATCAGAACCCTTCTGTCAGATTATCTCATGTCAAATTGTTTTCTGACACTGCTTCTGCTGTGTCTTCTTCCTCATTTTCTGGCACTGGTTCAGAAGCACTCATCTCCATCAAGTCATCTTCTGTTACTTCCCTTGTGTGGTGTCTATTAGTTCTTGAATTTCTCCAAGATCTGTATCTTAAAACCATTCACTCCCAACCTTTTCCACCACATCCACAATATCTTTCATGATTTCCTTGACTGACTGTTGTAAATCTTGTAAAGTCATGCACAACATTTGGACAAAGTTTTCTCCAGTAGGAATTCTTGTTATGGGTTTGATGACTTTTATGGCTTTTTCTATAATAATGATGGCATTTTCAATGGTGTAATCCTCTCAGACTTTCATGATGTTCTCGCTATTGGGGTTCTCTTCCATTGCGCTGAAAATCCTTTTCATAGAGTACTCATGTGTAATGAGCCTTAAAGGTCCTTATGACTGCATGCATCTCGAGGCTGAATCAGAGACATTGCATTTGCAGGCAAGGAGACCACTTTGATGCCTTTGGTGTTGAACTCATGGGGTTCTGGGTGGCCAGAGCCATTGTGCAATATCAAAAAAAAACTTTAAAAGGCAGTCTCTTACTGGCAAGGTACTTCCTAACTTCAGGGACAAAGTATCAATGGAACCAGTCTAGAAAAAGGGTTCTCCTTGTTCAGGCCTTCTTATTGCACAACCAAAAGACTACCAGTTGGTGTTTATCATTTCTCTTCAAGTCTCGTGAGTTGGCCGCTTTATAGATAAGGGCAGTCCTGATCATAAACCTGAGTACATTTGCACGAAGCAGTAGTTAGCCTATCCTCTTCTGCATCAAACCCTGGTGCTCACTTCTCTTCCTTAATAATAAATGTCCTTTGTGGCATTTCCTCCCCCAGAAGACAGAACTTACATCTACATTAAAAACCTATTCAGGCAGATATCCTTTCTTCTAAATAATTTTTTCCCCTCCTCTTTTTGTTTTTTTTGAGATGGAGTCTCACTCTGTCACCTAAGCTGGAATGCATTGGTGCGATCTTGGTTCACTGCAACCTCTGCCTCCCAGGTTCAAGCTATCCTCATGTCTTAGCCTCCAGAGTAGCCAGAATTACCGGCATGAAACACTATGCCCAGCTAATTTTGTATTTTTAGTAGGGACGGGGTTTCTCCATGTTGGCCAGGCTGGTCTTGAACTCCTCAGGTGATCCGTCTATCTCAGCCTCCCAAAGTCCTGGGATTACAAGTGTGAACCACCACACCCAGCCTCTCCTAAATAATTTTCTTAATGGCATCTTGGAACTTGTCTACTGCTTCTTGGTCAATAGAAGCTGCTTCTCTTGTTATCCTGACATTTTTAAAGTCAAATCTCTTTCTAAAATTACCAAGCCATCCTTTGTTGGCATTAAATTCTCCAGCTTTATTTAGCTCCTTCATTTTCCTTTTAAGTTGTCATAAGATGACTTTTTATTTTCTCAAATTATATTAGAGTCTACAGGTATGCTTTTCTTACAGAAATCCTGTACCCACATAAAACTTGCATTTTCCATGACAGATAAAAAGATATTCTGCAAAAAGTACCAAGTTTTTGCACATGCTGGCACAGCTGCATGATGACTTTAGAAATTTCCTTTTCTTTTTGTGCAATGGTCCCTATACTGGATTAATTTATCTTGAAATGGGGCAACCACAGCTGCAGACTTCCATCCCTGGTACATATCAAGCAATATAATTTTTTCGTACAATGTCATGACTTTGCTTCTGGGGAGCACTTCCAGGCACTTTGCATGGGCCTCATGGTGTTACTCAAGGTTTACAGTATTGCATGAAACATGATGAAACCTCCACGAGAACCACCAAGAGATCACTTTTTACTGTGATATGCAATTTACTGGAGAGACAAACTGCTTATGCAGAGATGACCAGTGTCACATGATGTTTTACACAGGTAGCTGAAACACCTGAACTCGTCACAAAAGCAATAGGAGGTGGCTCTGAAATTATGATAGTGGTACAGTATGCACTACAGTTAACTTTATGCTGTTATAATTTAATACTGCATCTTTATGTTTTTTTGCATTCCTCCTGAGAATGACTCCACGTACAGTCTATAAGTGACTGTGTACACAGGTTTTGATACATTTTAACTTTTTTATAATAGATTTGTGTATATTTTATGTTAGTAGATGATAGAATATTATCTATATATATTTTATTCATTAATGACATACCTCTGTCTTAATTTTTTCATATTTCTAGGCTACACGTTTTATCTGCAAGTTTTTTCAAATTGTCACAAATCTCAAAAAAATTTCCAATATATTTATTGAAAAAAATACACATATAAGTGAACCCACATAATACAAACCCATATTATTAGAGTCAACTGTACATAAATTGCTCTAGTGAAGTATATGGAAATTGAAAAATTTAGAGAGGCAGAAACTCCTAATTCAGCCAAAGAGAAGTGAAGAAGGTCTCACAGATGCTGGAGAGAATTTGGAGAAATTGGAACACTTTTACACTGCTGGTGGGAGTGTAAATTAGTTCAACCACTGTGGAAGACAGTGTGGCAATTCCTCAAGGATCTAAAAATAGAAATTCCATTTGACCCAGCAATTCCATTACTGGGTATATACCCAAAGAATTATATATCTTTCTGTTATAAAGACACATGCACACGTATGTTCATTGCGGCACTGTTCATAATAGCAAAGACCTAGCTCTAACCCAAGTGCCCATCAAAGATAGACTGGACAAAGAAAATGTGGCACATGTACACCATGGAATCCTATGCAGCCATGAAAAAATGATGAGCTCCTGTCCTTTGTAGGGACATGGATGAATCTGGAAACCATCATTCTCAGCAAACTGACATAAGAACAGAAAACGAAACACTACATGTTCTCACTCATAGGCCGGTGTTGGACAATGAGAACACATGGGCATAGGCAGGGAAACATCACACACTGGGGTCTTTTAGGGGTTGGGGGCTAGGGGAGGGATACCAGGGGGCGGGGAGGTTGAGGAGAGATAACATGGGAGAAATGCCTGATGTAGGTGACGGGGGGATGAAGACAGAAAACCACCACGGCATGTGTGTACCTATGCAACAATCCTGCAAGATCTGCACATGTACCCCAGAACTTAAAGTACTGTATATATATATATAGGATATATATAGGATATATATAGGATATATATATATACATATATAGTATATATACAGGATATATATAGTATATATATATATAGTATATATATAGGAGATATATATATATATATATATATATATGGGGGTTGTAAATGGAATTAGTGGTTTAAAAAAAAACAAAAAAGAAGGTCTCACAGAGAAAATGTTAAGATTTGAAGGATAATTTCCGGTAGAGCAAAAGGCACAGAGGCTGAAGAAATCATGCTATATGTTTGGACAGTAAGTAGATCAGTATCACTAGAATGTAAAATGTGAGGTAGAGGGGTGGTTGGAGATGGGCAAAATAGGTGAAGG